TGACTGATCAAGCTAAGCAAACAAACAGAAATTAATTGTCTTTACAACAAGTCTATGAAATTAAGGAGATGACACAAATCACTCACATAATTTGGAAAGATAACCATGTCAACGTCTGCTGGAACATCAGCCAGTAACTCTCTCACAGAGTAACCTCGTGTTCCTGCAGGATGCAGGAGCTCATCAGTGTCAAGATGGAAAATCCACTCCATGCCAGCATCCTAGATAAGATCAGATAATCGACTTAGTACATCACATGCAGCACACCGAAAGAGTGAGTTAAAATAATTCAATGGTTGTTAAGTTGATGATTCTTACTCTTGCTAAGCCAATAGCCATTTCCATGTTGAGGGTTTGCTTCACAAAAAGCTCGTTGTTGCATGGTTTGTAGAAAAATTTTGAAAGCCATGACTCACTCCATATTCGACTGACAATCAAATTTTGAAGCACTGTAAGTGTACATTATTGTACTCGGTACAAAACCAAAAGTCCAAAAGTATAAGCATTAATAATTTCACATTTGGTTTATAATGACTGTTATAAGGACTCTTCATTTCAGTTTAAGTACCATGACATGACACTCCAGGTCTCCAGCATCACTATGGACACTTGACACCTCATATATCGGACCTAAATCATTGGGCACACACTCGTGTCTTTCATGAATACAGAAGTCTGAGTAACATAGTATTGAACCACTAAACATGCGGAGAAAGAAGGAAACATAAAGAGCAAAGAATACTTTGGTTTTCCAAACCAAAACCAACCAGACTTCCAAAATTAAAAAGTCGTAACATACAAGGATCAAGCAGCAAAATTTACAAGACCGGTTTCAAACAAAAACTAACCTCTTAGCTTGTAGTTCTTCTAGTTCTTTTGTTCTGTAGATCACCTGTACCCCCTGTGAAAACATCAGAGATATCGTCAGAATGTAATCCAGCAACAGAAATCAATTAAGTTACAGGTTAAGAAGCTAGCTTTGGCCCCATGTAAGATAAGTTAACTTACAGGAATAAACTCAAGGACTCTAGATACATTGGTGCTCGCAGCCTTCCCTTCCACAAAGAGGATAAAGTCTGTGATGCCGACAACCTTATGATAAAAGATCCACGGTAACAATTGTTCTAGGCCAGCTGAAGTAGTTGACGTAATACATGCCTAATGTAATACAGAGAAATCACTTAGTAGTTGAATGGATGATGTATTAATTGTCATAATATGATCAAATCAACATCATATAGAAGAATTAAAACAACCAACAGGTCCAACACTCAGTAGAAGCTATAGTAGAGCTTCAACTAGGCTTCACATGTGCTATTGGCTATCGCACGTATGTGACACGTGACACTCCTTTATTAGGTTAAGAAGCAAGTACACAAACACGTTAAGGTGAGAGCACACTTCAGAAACAAAAAAACACCTAATCTAATACTTTTACCAGAATAACAAATATTTTTACAAGAGATGTGATTTGTAACTCATTAATTAATCTTTTTGAGGGTGACTAGCAGCCAACTCAAAATAGTGATTTCATTGTTGCATCATTTATTTGTTCCTCCTCATATTCAAATTTAGAATCATTCACAATCAAGTCAATCATATTACAAAAATAAGCATAAAGTACAGAACTAAATAAATACATGTTTAAATATGGATTATATGATCACTAACAATTCCTCTCTCAATCAACCGACTTTTGAAATTATTTATTCTACATTAAACTACTAATCTTAATCGACGGATAAATCCGAGTCAAATAGACAAGGAAGAAATCCTAAAATAACAATAATTAAGCATTCAAGTGATTAAGATAAACCCTAAATCTCCAATAATTATTCAAATTACACTAGCCTATTAATAAATATTATTTATATTTTCGAGATTAAAAGTCAGCAAATTAACAACTCATTTCTGACAATAGACAATCTCATTTCGATAATTAAGTACTAAAAGAAGAACAAGCATGCAGATTACTATGATTTCACGCATGTTTAATCGATCTACAAATGAACAAGATTTTAATCAACAATTACAGTATTAACCAGTTTATCAAAGAAAAATAATTAAAAACTTGTAAAAATAAAAAATTTGATCCAAAAAACAGAGAAATTAGCCAATAATTCAGCAAGAATCAATAAACCCAGATGAAAAAATGCCAAGATCAATAAACCCAAAAATGAAAACACACAAAATCAACAAAACCCCATTAACCAAAACGATTAAAACTCTGGGTTTAAGAATTAAAAATTAAATAACCAAAGGTAAAAATTTAGAAAAAAAAAACCCAAAAAAGGGAAGATAAATCAAAATCATACAAAAAGACATGAATTTAATTAAAATTAAATTACTAACCTTGGGACTAATAGTAGAATCATTATAATTAAAATTCCAGCCTCTGAAATAAGGAAAAACAGGGGAATTGGTTTGACCCAATGCATTATTGGGGCAATTATTTTTATTATTATCATCAAAAGATGATTTGATAAAGGGGGAATCAAGCATTCCAGGGAACTCTTTGGCATAATCAAAGGACCAGCGAGTAATCGGGTCGATACCGCCGCCTCGCCATTGAAGAAAGAAGGCAAACAGAGCAAGAAACAGAGGAAGGAAAGTAAGGAAGAAGATGAGTTTATAAAGAAAGTGTTGTTGAGATGAATAATAAGAAAAAAGAATTGTTGAAGAAAATGATGAATTTCTTCTTAAGGAATTGTAAAAACCCGCCATTTTTGGAGGGTTTTTGAGGATCAAGAACAAGGTGTTACGCCATTAGAGTAGAAGAAATCAAAGGAAATTATGAGAGAATATAAATTTGGTATTTAAAGGAGGGAAACGTATATATAATTGAATAGTAGAGCCGTTTTGTCGTTGGGATTTATATTTATATAATATATAGTTTATATTATCTGACTATGAAAAAGAATAAAAGCATTATCTTTGACATGGAAAATGACTAACACCTAAATCAAATGTTTCTCTAGTAAGCTTAATGGTGAAGGACCATAGCACTTTTATCGACCACAAAAAATATAAGTGTTCGGTAATATTAGTTGTTGTATTGGTATTTACAATCCCATACTTATATCGGCATATGCATATATGATTCAATAGTATGTATGTATATGTGAAAGATCGTGACTTTTATGAATTAATATCAACAAAAGCATACATATATATTTTTTTTAACAACAAAAGCATCATTCTAAATGTTATTGATTGCATTTAACAATTTATGTCATTCATAGAAAGAATATTTCAATATCTTAAGTTTGAATGCAAATTTATTTTTCCCTTATTAGTAATGATATTGAGAGTAATACTCCATAAATTATTTTCAATGATACAATTTTACCAAATAAATCCAATCATTAATTACTACACATGATAATGACTAAAAAATTCAAATTTGGTCAAACAATGAAAAATGTTAAACAAGCTTGATACACTAAAATTAATGTAACCTGTCCTTAATATAAGGTAAAGCAATTAAGATACATAACACTAAACTAGCATAAACTAATGTGAACTTTTATACTCAGCATTTTTTAAAATTAAAATGAATAAAAGTAAGAAGTAAGCAACAAAATAATTTTTCCACGTGTCAATTTAGGAACGAGAATGCATATTCATCGGCTTCGATTGTGACAATATGTTCTATGCTTTTCATGTCCTTTTATGATTCATAATTTACTGTATAATAATCATGTGGCAGATTTTTTTATTAATAATTACTGTTTTCTTTAATTAAAGTCTTACACGTAGCAATAATATTTTGAAATTAAAATAAAAAAATAATAATAAAAGTGGTCAATCAATGTTTTAGCGTACTTAGCTTTCATTTGTACATGTGCCAAGTAACATTTTTTTTTCTTGTCCTTTTCTTTTTTTTCCCTATTTTTCCTAAATTTCTTTGGTTTGATAACAAAATGATTCAGTCTTCTTCCTTTCTTTTACATTCCTTTAGGCCTTTTAGGGTTGGGGGTGAAGGAAGTGTTTGGTGGAGGAACTATAGCTTACCACAATATAGGAGTACTTTCTATTTTGTGAGATAAAAGAGCATGTTAAAAGTTGCCCTCATTGACTCATTGTTGCACATCTTATTATAGCACTTTTAGTTAGGGGCAAAAATGTGTCTCAAGTCGGGCCTCTTGGAGTACCTTGAGTCGTTGAGAGAAGGGTGAGGAAATCTCGCCTCAATGAGTCCTAATAAAATTTAAGCTCATACCTTCAGCTCATGACAAACAGGTATTGAGTATTGACACTAGGTTAAGCCAAAATTTGTGTATATTTTTGTTCTCGGACTGATCAGACAACTAATTTGCCCTGTGTTCGAATCGACATGGTAATCGAATTTTGTATATGGAACAAAGAACGTCAACCTTACTTCATGGGGTAATTAAAAGAAAGTCGTTATCTTTTGTACTTAATATGGTGTACTAAATTCAGAGTAATGTGCATAACACCAAATCAAGAAAGGAAACATTAATTTAATATTGTAATTTTTTAAAAAGTAATACTGTAAATAAGACTTAGACTATCTCCATTGGTGAGACTCAACTTTGAGTGTTGAAATACAAAATGAGTTGTTTTTTACCTTCAATGGTGATACCTAACCCACTTCTCAATTTAACAACTCATATGAAGCTTAATTTGCCAATAATGAGACTCTCTAAAGTATACTAATATCACTTTCAATTTATAGCCCATCAAATCCATACTATAAGAAAAAAAAAAATTACAAAATATATTATAATATTGATAAAGGACCCAACTTCTTGTCAAATGAGACTCAAAATTGAGTATCTTAATTTAACAACTTTTCTTTTGAAGTTGCTAAGTTTAGTATTACTCTCTCTTCGAAAAAAAAGGTCCCTCAAGTTTCTCTATTGGAGATGATCTTAAAAGTTAAAATGATACTCCCTCTGTCTTTTTTTTACAAACCTAATTCTAAAATTTATTATTCACATAATAATAAAAAGAAATAGACTTCTAATTTAGGGACGGAGGAAGTACAAGCATTATAAACTACAATATCGTAAAGGAGAGATTCACTCCGTATTTGAGCATACAAATGTACAATACAGCAAATGATAAGCCAAAACATCTTCTTTTTTTTTTTTTTTTTAAAAAAAATGCCAAAATATCTTCTTAATAGGTTTTGTAAACAAATTTATTTTAGTTTTGTTATTATCACAACTTATTGGAATAATACAAAACATTAAAACTACGGGATTTTCTTTTAAAAAAAAGTTTATATATATAATGGAATATAGAGAGCCACAAAGGACAATAATGTATGCAAAACTCGATCCCTAATAAAAGACATAGTTTTGTTTTTCTCTGTCCAAAATTAGTCGTCACTTAGTTTCTGCATCTCATAACTAAGAATAAGACATCTTTTTTTCACCTGTAAAATTAAATACAATTCATATTCCGTAATCATCCACAGTTGTAGTATAGGATAACTTAGAGCTTGTTCGCTATCATCTTTTCATTCTTCATATTTCAGATTTATAAAAACCAAATACAACACTTTAAAAGCAAGAACAAGTAGTTGTCAATCTTATCACTAGTTTATTGCTATTTGCTAGCTATCAAAATTAACATGAATAGTTTATGCATGATTCATATCAAGTTCGTTTACAAATAATAGCATAACTCGAACAATCTACAAACCAAACACTGAAAGTTTACTATGTTACCGAACAAGCAATTCACTTGCTATTTTCATTAGGCTCTGTCAATCTTTGCATTTTCACAAAAATATAAAGACTAATTGGCGAACATCATGCAAAATTATAAGCCTCACGCTTGAGTTGTGGGTATGAGCTGCCTATATTTTCGCATTGTAAATTCACACACTGTAATGCAGGAAACAAGAAAATACGTAACAGAAATAACAGATTTCCTGCATTTTCAGCAATATAGATTAAAAAAGCAGATAATATGCTAATTGAAACAAGAGAAAATCTTATTAATTCAGAAAAGCTTATCATAAGCCTGAAATAAAAAGAAGTGATGCACAAATTTAAGTTATAGTGGCGGAACCACTTAGCAAGTTAACAAGCATACACAAATCCATTGCGCTTATCTCATTTAGATGAAATGATAGTAAATTCCCGAAATTAATGATGTCTTAATCTGGAATAAGCTGAAATTCTACAAAGCAAGTTAGAATATGACAGTTCCAAAGCTTGTATATATATATATGAGCAAAAGAATGTCACGGCAATGTGCACACCCAGATCCTTATACATATGGAGGATGAATGAAGTAAAGAAAAACATAGTACCTAGTTATGGCACTGTGATTTCAGGTTAACTTGAAACGAGCTATTTTTGGTAGAACCTGAATAGCTGAAGTATTGTGACTTCTGGGTGGCAGACCCACGGAGTAATTATGACAAGCTAAAGCCAGAGCTCGTAAAAGTTATCTCTTTAGCAGCCTCAAAACATCTCCTACTAGATGCAATGATCCCGTCACAAGGACCTGCCAAAGCATATTGAGAGGCAAGTAAGATCATCTTTAAAAAAGAGAATCAACTATGGGCATGCATTAATGCAAACAAAAAGGAGGAATTTCTAACGCGTTACTTAGAAGATCCTGGCTAGTTTTTAAGCTAGAGCCAATGGCCTTCCAGATCCCAGGTCGGCAGGTTTTGGGATCGGATCTTCTTTGCTGGAGTAGTCAGTGCACTGCTAAGGGTTCTACTAAACCAAAAAAATAGGGTAACATCCCAACATTATATTCTCTATAAGGACAGCACTCTTTGTTTATATCTCCAGTGACCAGCCACATTTATGGTCTCACAGCATATTCGACTATTCCTGTCTATGAGAGATTCCAATTATTCGATTAAACTATCTCTGTCTTCATTAAAGCAAAATTCAGGCTCTCTACTAGTGAGTAACATCCCAGCATCCTCTCTAAAGAAAGCTATCACGTTCACATTGTCTATATAGCCTTCATAAACTAAATTACTGCAAGATTAAACTAGTAAAACTAATCTTTTCATATTCAAAACCAATTATGACCACAAGCGAGGAGTAACAGGGAAAAAGACTACTAGCTAACTTAGTTTGAGTTGCAAATGTGTATGCCTTCAACCACCAATTGCAGATTTTAGATATTAGCATGTAAAATAGACTGTATACTGGATTGGGGTCAGGGCCTGAACCCAAAAAGTATTTTTGGGGGACCAAAAATTTCATTTAAGTTTATTTACAGGGACCAAATAAAAGCTATAACCTTTTTTTTTTTTTTTTTTAAAAAAAAAGAAAAAAAAAAAAAAACCTTCATTTTTGTAAGAAATTTGGAAATGTGAGGTGCTGAATTGCTGACTGTCGAGGCTCCCGGCAATCCCCCTATGTTCCACCTATGACTGGAGTAATGTTAAGCCGCCTCATAGCTTCAATGGGTCCACCCACCCAATAAACCCATACGAAACACTATGTAAAAATACAATTCTTATTATAAAACAAGTAATTTACTCACTCGATTACTCATAACCCAGGAGCACATACCAGGTTAAACTTTTTTTTTTAAAAAAAAAGGTTAAAGTTGAGTAATTCATGAGAATTCCCATAAATTTGGTTGGAAATGAAGAGCAACTGTCCAAACCCATGTACAGTGTCAGAGCTGTGACATAGGTACTTGAGGTGAAATGAAGATTCTGAGTTACATAGTCAAGAAAAAAAAAACACCCCGCTAAATGAGTAGGTTGGAATAGATACATAGGCCAGATGAGGCTATCAAGTAACAATAAGAAAAAGATGACACCGAGTGAGATGCAATTTGAGTGAGTTTTCCAGTAATACCATTGATAAAATCAATTCCTCTCAAGCAACATGAGAGAATGGTCACGTATAAGTGCAGCATACAGCCAGATAAGTTTATTAGAACTAATATTAATCTGCACTCCATTCTTATGTTAGATTTAATATGGTCCTTAATTCTCAGGGGTTTTAGACTCATCAAAGCAAGGCAAATGTGTATACAACACCACTCATTCCAGGTGTTCTAAAATCCTCATAAGTAGATCTTACCTGCAATCTGACAGAAGGGTTTTCCCTTGCACAATCCCTCAACAATTTAATTGCTGATGACAATGAAGGAACAACCACACTGGTACGAGGAGAATCACCAGGAAAGGCTCTATGATGATCACCATGAAGAAATTCAGGTGGTGACAAGGCGTCACTACTCTCATTCTTTAAGCACTCTATGAAATTATTTCTATCCGGATCAAAATCTGTTTGAATACAAAAAAGCCACAGTTAGGGAAAAGAAGAAATTAATATTGTAATAGCATCAAAGATTGTCTAGCTCCTCACAAAATGTAAAACTGCGTGAAGCTGTAGTAGTTTATATTAAGTACAGAACAAAGCAATCACAAATCTAACAAAACATACGTGAATAGTTATATAGAATACTGATGAAATTGAAAGGACAGAAAGGCAAAGAACCTCTTTCGTAATAACAAAGAATACCTTTCCCATTAATTGACTTCTCCCATATTCTCTGCAGATTATATTGCCAAGACAAGTTTCTAGGTGTGTTTGAAGAAGTGATTGAAGAACCAGAAACAACTTTGTTGTATGTGGATATGGTAGGAACAAATAAGGCTCCAGAGAAATGAACACCTGAATGATTGGAGGATTCCTCAGTAAAGCCAGAATTAACTGCATCTAGTTAAATAGAATATACAGAACAGAATCATTTATTCACCAAGCAACTTGAGAGACATAACCATGAAGGTGCAATATGGCTAAAAGCTACCACAGAAGCATCTTTGTAATCGTATGCCAAGTAGTTTGAAGTGTGTGCAAGGTAATAGTAGTAGCTTTGGAGATGCTGACTATAGAAAGTTTTCCATAAATGAAAGTTTATAAAGTAATTTCATATGACCTACCCTTTGTATCCGATTTGAGAAGCCATGCACAATAGTATTATACAAGATAGAAACAATAGTCCCTCAGGGAGCTATGGGAGACAAATAACAAAATACATGTGACCCATTTGTATCCAAAACTTTAAAAGTTACAACAAGATAAATGAGAAATTACAACAAGAAGAAGATTATGAGTTCAAAAAAACAACAGCGTCATATTTTAATAACACCGACAATAGCAGTACCTGAGGAAGCACAGGTCCTAACAAGGTTTGGTAGCAGGATTTGTGGATTTCTCACCTCCATGCAATTGAACAAAAGAATCTACAGAGCCATGAATGAACAGTAGAGCCAACAAGTTAAAACAATGCCAATGAAAAACAGAGAGAAATCCCTTCACAGGAGTCCTGAAAAATAGATAAAAACTTTAAAGCATTTTCACACCTGCTTGGAGTTTTTATCACTATTTCCCTTTTCACAATTGGTGAAACCATATTTGCTAAATGCCTCTCCAAAATGATTCTCAGAAGATGACTTTAAGGAGGGTAATGATGTAGACTTATGATCGCCAATCACAACCTTTGAGAACCATTTAGCACAGGCATCCATGCTTTCAGGACTGTGCGCTCCATCCAAATAATACACCAGGTCTCCTGTAGGTGTATTAGAGGACCTACATATGTCATCATGGACTACCTGAGCCCTCCCAGGAAGACGTGCTGATGAAAGACCTCTCAAGAAAGCATCTGGCAGATCAGCTTCACAACTATCCTGGTTACATCTTACATATATAAGAAACCAAAAATATAATAGGTGAAAGATCAAACACTAAAAACTAAACAAAAATATAAATTTTGCACTTTAACAGTATACAAACCATTTATTAAAGTTTCACAAAGATATCAACAAACATAGGCCTTCTTCAGTAAGTGGTTTCTGCTAGTTTTTTTATAAGGTTTTGGCTTTTTCATGTGTTCAATCTTTAAACAGCCAAAAAAATATATTTGGTAAATGACTTTCCAGTCAATACAAAAAACACTACCTGGAGTAGCTTTTTCTCATAGGAATTTGGCTCTTTTGCACAAGTGTTGCACAAAAACAGCTACAGCTAAAATCTGCTTTACCAAACATCTTTGCAAACTGCTAATGCTAAATTGCTAACATCTGACCAATAAAAACAGCTAATACTATCGGCAAACCAAACAAGCCCATTGAACAAGCCAACAACAGATTGCCAAACAAGGTCATAACCAATAGTAATCACTCAAAAAGTCAAAGGTTCATCTTTAAGGTAACAAAGCAAACTACCTTGGAGATAGAAAAGATTACAGAGATTTGCAGACAGGTCATGTAGTATACTTAAGTCAGCAACAAAGACAGAGTACAAGGTCAATTACTCATATCACAGCCAAGGTTACATATTATATTTCTCTGCTAAAGTTACTGAGGACAGAAATCAAAAATAGATTGACATTATAGTTTATTCAAGTGAAACAGTAGTACAGTACAAGAAAAAAAGAGGAAAAAGTTGACAACCTACATTGGTAAACACCTTTTTTAAGTTCCCTGTTTGTTGAAGCCAAGATTTACAGAGGGAAACAGCAAGGCTTGCATTAACATATTGATGATCACCAGCCAAACTGAGTTGTAATCCATTTAACTGTCCACAGCTAAGAGGTTGCACAACTTCCAAGGGAATCTGCCATCATAAAGAACAGAAAAGACAGATCAAATGGCAACCAAATATGGCATTTCACAGAAAAACTTTCATATAATCCACTCGATACTGAAACTTGAGGTTTCAAGGTCAAAATATGACAAGCTAATAATAAGACCAAGCCAGATTTGGTGTAGTGCTAATGGTTAATTTAAGGTAATGGAAAACAACCTTACCCTCAATTGGTGAGCTCTTTCGGTGATAACATCCATCGCTTCAGGAAGCTGGGATACCGTAAATGCTGGTACACTGGGCTTTAAGAGCAGGGATGACATAAGGCGAATTCAGGTAACAATCGAAAAAAATAAAACAGACAATCATATGTATCAAAACTTGAATAGATACTATAGTAATATGAAAAGGTATTACAATGATAAAGTCCCCCCCCCCTCTCTCTGCAAGGTTTTATACCTTTAAGATACCAGCCTTGTGGAAGGCAATCTTTCCCAAAGTATCACCTGAAAATTAAATTATTCAACACTTTTAAGGTCATGCATTATCTAAGATATATGCCATATTCAATAACTACATCTAAATATTATCAAATAATGAAAAGGAGGCACAAACAATCCACAGATGCAACAAAGAAGATATCTTAGCTAATACAGGGGAGGAAGTAGTTAAGACTTAGTATTACATGGGTATTGGGTACCCAAGTCCATTTAACATAGATTGTAGGTTATTGGAAAAGGTTCACGCCACTGTAACTTGTCATATTGTACTCCTAAAGACTGTAAATTATACTTGATTGAATATTATAAGCCCAAGAATTCGGAAGATAAGGTTAGATCTCTCATGAGAATTAATGTCACTGCCAGATCATTCATAGACAAGGGGTACATGCAATATAGACATAAAACACTAGCATATGATGTATGAAGGTAAATCTGGCATATCCAGGGAAATCAGTTTCTAGCTAATTAGTAATTTAACACAGTATTGCATTCTTTACAAAGATATCTCTTTGACAAATCAAAAACAAAGAATATTCTGTGAGTGAGTGAATCTCACAAAAGCCACTATAAGTAACTAAACCTATGATAAACAGGTTTATCAAAACAAAAGACAATTGCAAAGCCTGGAATCTCGGTGCAGCCTTGTTAGAAATGCAACAGATTTTTTTTTTTTTTTTTAATCCTCTTTTGGGACCAAGGCTTTGTTGTTATAATCCTCATAAGTGATTGCAACAGAAAAAAAGGAGTGATTGTGCCCAATACATGACGGTGGCATATGAATGAATAGGGTAATTATACAATAGTGACAAAGAGCAGATATAGACTTATACAGCAACAAAGACTTAGTCCCAAAATAAATTTGGTTAGCTTACATGAATCATCATAAAGAAATAGATGGAAAGGGAACAGAGAACTAAACCTCGGCCACAAATCCACATCGCAACCACATTGTATAGGGTTTTGAGCTTACCGCGACCACGATATTAGACCGTGACAGCTGCAAACCATTCACATTACCATGCAAAGTGGTTTTGCAATTGTGACTACAACCGAGATTTGACTCCCTAGTCATTGAATGAAAAGAAGTACCTAAGGTTTCCATGTGGTCCATCCCCAATGAAGAGATTCCGCAAACAACAGGTTCTTTAATCTGCATAACCATGTTACATAAGATTAGCAAATAAAGACATCAATATCCACTTTAAATTATCAACCATAAGGAACATCCATTAAAAAACTTCGATGCTGAGTAGGTTACTTCATATTCTGAACTATTTATATACACAGAGAGAGAGAGAGAGAGAGAGAGAGAGAGAGAGAGAGAGAGAGAGAGAGAGAGAGAGAAGTGGTAGTTTAGGGTTAGATGACTCAGATCACTACCAAAGATACATACCACATTTGTGGAATCCTTTTCCCCTCCAAGACCAACTTCAATAATTCCAACATCAACCTGTCAACAAAAATCATTAGATATCTCAATTTATGATATATTAAGGAGGCTCTCTTTTAGAAGTCTCGTATAATACGGAGCAAGTGAATATAAGACAACATGAGCTATAATGAGCAGTAAACAGCAGTCAGCCATCTTTAAGAGAACTATTGTATTCATTAAGCCATGAGTAGTTGCAGTCACATTTTTTAGAAAGGAGTCCTTATGAAGAACTCCATCTACTAATCTTTATCCAGTATTAATAGAGCAAGAGCACGGTCTACCAAGAGGTCCCTATCCTCTAATTTGTATTCTTGATTCCTCTTGCTGACACCTTTCAAGTGTTGGTTCTCAGAGTCATAAAGGTTTGCTTTGATGCTATGAGTCTCCTCACACCTATAGCTGGTAGTACTGAACAAAAGCATTTTCTTGCATATTAAAGACTTCAAGTGCTGTTTCTTAGTCACAGGTTTTTTTTTTTTGGTCTTGTGAATCTCCTAACGTAGTCATGCTTACAACTAATGATGCAGGACAAAGCTATACCTTTACATATGGTTTTAGTAAGCTGTGAATTGTAAAAAAGAAAGTGTCGAGGTTCATGGAACTTGCTAATACACAGTAATATAATAGACTAAAAGAATATGAAGTGCTAAAGGTAGCTTAACTTTTACAATAAGAATGAGCTTAACCCATTAGACTAAATCATAGTGTAAAGACTAGATCCTGTACAAATTTCATAGCACAGGGTAGTTAACAAGGCAACAGATGTCAGGAACTTACTTTTTCACCAATGAATATCTTGAATGCCAGAAGAGTGAGAAACTGAAATAGGGGAGGCATAGGCAAATCATCGGTTACTTTAATCTGCAGCACAAATTTCACAGTCAAGTTACGAAAACTGGCTCAAAATGGAAGAGAATTACCATCTACAATTTAGATGAGAACTTCAACAAAATAAGATCAAGAAACCCAGGAAAGCATAATATGTACAGGATCCTGACTCGCTACAATCTCCACACAATTGCTACACGTTACTCATAGTCTATAATACCTCTGTTGAATCCTCACATTCCAACAAGGCAACAAGGGTATAACACTAGAACCCTTGACACTTCATCTTGAATCCTAAATTTAAAGGAGAATTTTCCATAAAACAGCCTAGGCCAACACTTGGACACATACCAGTGACACACAGGAGTAACCAAGTTCCGTCATAGACAAGTGCATATGCTGCCAAGTGCAAACAGCCAAACTCGGAGTATACTAATGCTAGTCAATGAAACACTTCACATACACACTAAATCACTAATAGAATTAGCAATAATAATTAGGAAGAAACAGCTGTAGGAAGCATTCTAGAGCAGTACAGGCTAATGATATCAGACACCAGTAAAAAAAATAGGATGTATAGCCTCTTAATTAGAAATCTTGAACATACTTAACCAATGGTTCAAAATCTGAGCATTTGATGGAATGTAGATTTCATGTCCACCATCCCATAAATGTCTACACACCAGAAACTTATGAGGCCAAATCTTTATAACTTTGATCATAATTATATTTACGGATATGCTGATGATTAACATGTGAATATAGTCCTGTTAGGTCAACTTTATAAAATGTTTAATGAATAATGACACAAAAATCAAAATAATAGCGAAATACGGCATTGGACACCAATAGTAACTTACAAACAATTTCAAACACAGGTAGTGATACTATTTTACTTTTATCTAGGGATCTTAAATCAGAAACAATGCTTTGTTAAAGATGCAAAAGTAAATAAAAATGTTTCTACCGGTAGGATTACACCTGAAAACAGTGTCCAAAATTACCTAGAACTTAACAAATTGGGCCTACAATCATTAAGCATATACTAAAATTTGACTCGTCTTACTACAGTAAAAATAAAAAAAAAAATAAAAAAAAATAAAAAAAATCTTTACACATTCTAAAAGTAGTGTGAAAAGCAAAGGGGTGCTAGGGTTAAATTTTCATGATTACGAGAAGAGAACAGGATGAATCATATCTATAATTAGAAAGTAGAGATCTTGTACCCTTAATTGATCCCAACAGTCCCAAAAGTATTGCAGAAACTTCTTTTCAGCAATGTCAACCCTACACATGCAAACCCATAGTAAACATTTCAGCAGTTTATGGAGTAACCAACACTAATTAAGCTAAGAAACATGAAATTGCATCAAGGTGAATTGATTGAAGACAAAGCAAAAACTATCTTTAAAAACCACTTCCAAGTTCCAAACATACAAAGACTATATGCAACATTCAAGAATAAGAGCATTAGATATTGCGGTTGTGATACATCTCTCCTTTGGCTCCTTTACTTTTAGTAGAGAAATAAAGATAATACTCGGTTTGAGCAATACTGCTTAAGTTGATAGCCGAGGCTTGGAAAACTTTGTTATTTTACTTCTTAAAAGGCCATACTGCACATCATTTGTCAAATAGCTGATATGCAGTAAGCTATTGAACAACAAAGCTTCTAAAATCACACCCTAACTCCATGAAAGGCTGTTATCCGCCATTAAAATTCTTTACTAAAACCATTCCACATATAAGAGAACCCACCAACTAAAATCATATTCACAAAAAAAGACAAAAGTACAGAACCTCTCATTTCTTCTATCTTCAAGTATAAAATAGAAAGTACTTCTGAAGTGTTAAACAAACTTTTTCCTACTTGTCAATTCAAAGCATGACGAGTGGATGGCTAATGACAACTGTAACTATCAACATTCTAGAGTTCAAGTTAGTTGTAGAATGTTTCATTTAAAATGCCAAGCTTTCTACGGCTTTTTTTTTTTTTTAAGGAGAGATATTGCCTCCTGGAATACAATAAGCAGGAAAGAAAATATAAAAGATGAAAATCATGTACAGAAATGAGATATATGGAAGAGCATGCTTACCCATCAAGTCGAAACCTCTCTCTCACGTCAATTAAATGAGGTGATGTAAAAAGGCCAGTCCGGAAACCACATTCGCGTAAAATTGCCTCAGAGAAAGCACATGTCGACCCCTGGACAAAGAACATCATGTAGATGTTAGGGGCAAAGGGAAAGAAAATAAAGATATTCATTTTAAAAAACCATTGTCTGAATAGACCTAGGGTCTGCAATGAGCACATAGCCCACATAACTTAACTGCTTGACTAGTTGAGACTTGAAAATTCCAATCCTCCAAGGGCAAGTCATAAATTCTTTTACCTCCATCATCATACTTCATACCTGACCACCACTTCCCCACCCCCTCCCCCTTTCTTCCCATAAACTAAACTTAAGAGAAACTCCACTGCTGGGTAGCCAGGGTTCAATCTACTAATTTTAGTTTACTCCCCTGTGGTATGAGTCGTATAACCTTGGGTTAAACTCCAGTCAACCTTCAGTGTTTCCTACAGATGCTGGTTTGACTTACCCTTCACAGGAAAATCAAAAGGAGAAAAAAGGAACAAGAGGGGAGAAAAAGGTCTATAAGAGCTTTCTGAATGGCTGGCATGGCAGTAATATATTTACCCACATTAACATGAAAGAACATTTCACATTTCATATTTCATATGCATGACTGCAAGCTACCTTCAGAATAGGGAGAACAAGATGTAAGACGCAAACAAGTTCTGACCCATAGTATTGATTTGTATGAATACCAATGACATGCCAAGTCTTGTTCTCAGGATTTAACAAAAAAAAAAACAAGTGTAAAAGGAAGACCAAAAATTATCCTACACATAGCCACCTCTTTTCTCTCCCTCTTCTTCTCTCTCAAACCCTAGCCTCCATTAGTAAATTTCTAGTTCCATCGGTTTTTCCAGTAGAAAGCCTCTATCTTTATTACTTGTTTTCACGTTTTAATAATTCCTCCTCCTTTTGCGAGGATATTTTCTCCTCAAGACAAGGTTTTTTCATCTCTCCTTGCGAGAGACCTTTCTTTTTATTTGTTTTTCTGGGATTCTAGATCCTTTTTTTAGGTAGTTATTCATGGGGAAGATGATTTGGATTCAAAAGAGTTTAGGGTGTTTCATCAATTTTCCAATCCGACAATTATGCACGAAATCATAATGTGAAGACCTCCAGTCGGAAAGATGCAAAGACATCAAAGTATTGCTCGCGTTAAGCTTGAAGCAGTGAGGTTGGAGTTGTGCTTGAGTATGAAAGTTTTGCTAATTCTCTAAACTTGTGGTTGATAATCATTATAGATGTTGTATGACTTATTATTAATGAAATTACTAATTTCATTAAAAAAAATATGGAGAAAAAAATTACCTTCCCCTTTGTTCCAGCAACATGGATGATGTTAAGTTCAGCTACATTATCCTCCAATCCTAATATCTGGTTCAGAGAAAACAGAAAATACAGTAATATGCTCACGTTCAGATGATAGCTGAGAAAACTGTCAAGTGCATAAGAAATAAAATTTGCGCATCAAAACATTATTGAAACAATGGCATACATGCTAAGGTCGTTGTATAGTTTAAGTACTAAACTCCAAATCATTAGCTCAGCATACTAGAGAATACTAGAGAATCTATACTCATAAATTAAAAAGTGTTCCTAATTCAGATTATGTGTCACGTGTCACCCTTTTTTAATTAAGCACTATAAACATGTCACGTCACCAATATTTGCTATGTGTCACCTCTTTAAGCACTATAAACATAAAGTTAACTGTGACAAACTACCTTTTGTAAACTTTTAATATTTTTAAGCAAGTCAAAACTCTTAACACAGAAGATTCATGAGAACTTGATATTCCATCCTGACATTTCCTCTAATAGTAGATAAAGGTTAGAACAAGAGCCCAACACGGTATCCACTTATAGGATTCAGATTTCATATGAACCCATGGACAAAAGCAAAAGAGTTTGCAATTCACTGGGGGATACCGCCTATGAAATTATCATGCTAATATAAGATCACTAAAGACAAAGAAAAAGATGGGTAAAACTGTAAAAGCATAGGGAAATCTCTTTCAATAGAAAGCAGCTGTTTAGCAAGGAGATCATTCTGCTCTCATCTCAATAATAGCTTTAGTATGCTTATAGGAATTTTCAAAACATTAACCACTTTTAACCTATGACATCACAAATAGTTTTTTCCCCAGACAAGAACAAACCACTCTACCTCCTTGTAAAATACAGGCTACAGTCTTTTTCTGGCTTTAGAACACTCCACAAGATGGCTAAGCAAAATACCAAGAAATTTAAAACAGCATGCATTCTTAAATGCTCCACATAGTCCACACAATTAAAATACTTCGTCAGAGTAATCACTCAAACCATGCCTGTATGGTAATATGGACATAAACTAACTAGGTCAAGAGGGAAGTGATGGCATTATAAATTCATAATCAATCACAAGAATACATAACTCATATTACCTGCAAATACATAGTCATGCGTTCTAGCTTACTGTACTTTCCCCTGATAGAAGGCCTTTCCCCACGTTTCCGACCTGTAATGAGGGAAGAAAGTGCTTCCATGGCAGTCTCATAAGAACGTGAATGGGAAAATTCCCAAGAGCATTCCTCAATTACTTCATTCCTTGTTAAGTTTTCTACAACATCTGTTGATATCGTTCCAGATATGAGACCTGAGACAGAAGCTAGATTAAGTTAGAAACCAGAGAGTAACATATGTCACAATACACATATGGATCTAACAAAGCGCCCATCCCACCCCCCACCCCCCCCAAATGTATATATGAACTCATGGCAATAGAAAACAGCATTTCTCATGCCAAATCAAGAAGCTGAACTATCTAGCATGTAGGTCAAACTGTAGTACAAGTACCAAGGTGTATAACTATGATACATTGGAAATGCTTCAGTCTATGAAACCTCTGGCATGAGATAGTTTAAGCCAAATGTATGTCTATTGGTTGAGAAAAATGGTGAAAGGAGAAACATCAATATAGTAAGGTGTGTGTGATCCTGTGCATGATCAGCAAAATAAAAATGATCCAGCCAATAAGCAATGGGGTTACATCATTCAATTAACCATGCTTCAGATTGTAGTTCCTTCATGGATGGGTAGGTTAGTGAATTAGATATTAGATAACACTACAAGTCTAAGGGTCAACTAAAATTTCCCATGTTTTTGGTCCACATTTCAACTTGAAGTCAAGAATACATACCCATATCAGAGTAGAACTTGAGGTTAAATGAAGTGTCCGATAATATATGGCTTTTACTATACTCAAACTAAGAAAACACTAGCTAGTAATTTTCAATCAGAAATAGAGGGGCAAAAGCAATAAGTCAATAAATAAGCATTTCAATCATGAAATTACCCTAACTTTAAGTATCCTTGTTAGATATCAGACTTTCAGCTGACTATGATGAGTGGACACATACATGAGCTATATAATTGCAATTGATAGAAACACCCCTTTGATCAATATAACTGGCAACCACACAATAAACACAAAGGTAAGCATAGGCAACCAATAATATTAGCTGTACAAATTAGCCCTATAACTCACTTGAAGCAAGAGGGTCATGTCTGTTTAAACAAGGAGGTAAACATGAAACCCCACGAGCCGTAACACCATTTAACCACCATCGCCTCCGGCAGAAGCATGAAATGCAAAACCATTGATGCCTTAGGAAATTATTTGATTGAATGTGCAACATAAGTTATAAATCCTGCAACATCATCAACCATTAACCGATTATTCAAACATAAGTTATAAATCCTGCAACATCATCAACCATTAACCGATTATTCAATACTCAGCCTGATTGTCAGCAGGAAATTAAAACTAAATCGATTTCTCACAAGAACTATCACACTACTGAACCAATTACAACTCTAGAATCAATTCTAAATACAACCCAATTCAAAATCTCTCAATAACCATCATAAATTCAATTTTTTTGAGTAAAACCCATTTTAATTTCTGCCCAAATTCATCCTAATTCAGAGGCAATATAACTCTATAAACACATTTAACATAACCCTTTTCGATAAACAACACCAATATTAAGCAATTAACCATTTGCAACACTATAATCTCAATTATTATCCAAGTTATCAACATTACAGAAGCAAAAGATCACACCTTTTTCTAAAAAAGTAAATAAGTAGTGAGATTACCAGTTGAGAGGAGAAGACACACGAATTTATTCTTGAAGCTCAGTGGTTCACCACGGAAGACGCAAAATGTAAGAGTGATAAAAACGGCTACTTCGGTGCCACTGCTTTTTAGCCGGGTTAGAAACTTAGAATATCATTAGTTCACTACTTTTTTTTTTTTTTGGGTATCTCTCTCTCTCTAAAGTACATTATTTTCACCGAGGCTTCTGTCTTTCATTGCATTTTCTCCTATATTTTATTAAAGAGATTTAGAAAATTTTGACTTTTACTATCACTAAAAAACACTATTATAATTTTTGATACCTATCTAAATTTTTAACTAAAGGCCTATTCACATTTACTAAACTGAGCTAGATATTTTATGAGAGAAGGAAATTAAGAACTGACACTGAACTGAAATTAAGTTGAAGTAAACAAAACTCTTTCTTTCAAAAAAAAAAATAACTAACACTAAAAAAATAGGTTTTGCTAATACTTAAAGGTTTTCGTTAAATTTCGTTAGTGGTCAGCCTTTAAAAGTTTCTTTTTCTCAATTTGCGTAAATATTTTGTTAAGGGTTATAAGGGATCATTTTAGGGCTTAAGAAACCAAATTGAATTTGGAATTGCAAAAAATAAATAACGTTAGTGTCTTATTTTGGGTATCATAAAATGCATCGATATGCGTGTAATTATTCTTTTTGCCGTGAAAATTGATTGGGTAAGATTTTAGGCATGTAAATTTAGGAAAATGATACATTTGGTGGTGATGGTGGAAGCTAATTAAGGGAGCAGGGAGGGATGTGAGGAATTAGGATTTCGAGAGAGGTGGGTGGTCACGGCGGGGATAGGGAGTGGTGGTGGGTTGGCCGGCGCGGTGGAGGAGGCTGGGTTGGAAGGCGCTAAGGAAGATGTTGGGTTGGTCAACGCTCCGAGGGAAGGCTGTCGGAGGGTTGATGTGGGGGTTAAGTTAACAACCGCCTTTATTTCTTTATATATATATAGTTTTTTACTAATCATGTACTGAAATAAATTAAAATTAAAAAAAAGTTACCTAATGTACAGGTTATCGGTCACAAATTAAAGGACCGACAAAAGAAAATGTCTTATGTAAAGTAGGATTATTAAATAATAATCGAAAGGTGAAATTAATAACGGATAACCTACCAAAGGTGAAATTATTACAATCAATTTTTTCAAAATATACAGAAAACCACATCTATACCAAACATATCCTTAATCTCATCACTTTTTTTTTTTTACTAAAATCCAAGTTCAAGTCAACTCAGACTTAAAAAAAAAAAAAAAAAAAAAAAAAAAGTCAACTCAAACTTATACATACCCATTAGAGTCTAGTGGGTTAGAGATCACACATGCATTCACAATTTCACACCCCAATAGGCCAATACTATCTCCAAAATCACATTAGTCCCACATGGACCAAAAGTAAGAAGGAAGCTATGAAACTGGTATAAATAAGTTTGCCTCATTTCCTTAATCTTCACGCAGCCATGCAGTGAGCACATAGCGAACTATTCTTTCGCCTTTTACTAAAGAATACCGTGTGCTCGCTGCATTTAGTGGCATACGTTTATTTTTGAAGGGAGTTCTTCTATAGATCTCCCAGCAAATCTAGATTAAAAATTGCCTCAAATGAATAAAATGATTACTATACTTATACTCTGTGGAGGCAGTCAGACCACCATAATCATTGCAGCATCATATTACTTGCACGGTTACACCTGAAAACTTGATGCTTCTCATTAAAAATTGTTATGACTCGTGTAGTCGTGTGGGCATCGACTATCGAGTATTAGAAAGTATGTAGCCAATGTAGGCTTTACTCTTGCAAATTGAAATACGAGTACAATTTTATGGTTCACATATATCCTTATTAGTTTTTCTATAACTAAAAATGATTGTCCTTTTTTTTTGACCGGATAAAAATGATTGTCCTTATTGAAGGCATTACAATATATACCAACCATGTCCATAAAAGTATTAAAATTTTACAGTAGTCATTTCTATAAAAGTAATACTTGTATAGCTTATCTTACTTGTAGCCTAGGAAAAGTTTTGGAAATTTTACAGAGTAAGATGTTATATTATAATTAGATAGATAGAAGCCACATGAAGAACGCAATCATACCATGCTTAATCAAGAGATGATATAATTCATAGTAACAAATATAGTGCCTATCCTTTTCATTTTGTTGAATTAAAATGTACGTAGTAGTTCTTGCATTGTAAAGTCATCATAGACTTTCTTATGTAGTGGGTAGTATTGAGGTTATTGTCTATGTCCCATATCATACAGTTTAAAACATAAACAACCTATGAGACCAATATATAAGCGAGAACTCTCATATGACCTACTCATCTTTGCGCTTGGGGCAATGACGCAGCTAGTGAGGTATTAACCGAGGCGCGTCAATTGCTGGTTGAAAACTATTTCCAAACCCCCTCTTCGGCCTCGGCTTTGACCGTGGCCGTTGAAAATTTCTGGAAGGGCTCCTTTTTCCTAGGGAAAAGCCCTACAATTCCTAGTAACAAATATTTTTGGAGAACGTTTTTGAAGTTATGTAAATCCTGCCGCTAACAATAGATGTATCATTTATATATGCCGGGAATCTTTGGATCATATATATTAGTTAAGAATGCTGGGAATCTTCGGATCATATTAGTTAAGTATGTACATTTTTTTTTGAGAAGAGTTAAGTATGTACATGATATTATTATATCATTTGTAATTTTGTATGCTACTTCGTATAAAATAATTTTTATTGTAGTAAGAATGTAAGACTACTAGTTGTCTTTATTAATGGATGAAATTTAAGCACCTAAATAATTAAATGTAAGATTTGGTTCATTTTGGTTTGAATCGCTTTTGTTATACTATAGAACTATGAATGCAAAGGCAAAAGTATCTTTTAATACAAAGTTATATTCTTTCATCTCGATAATTTTCTTACTTTAAATTTATGATATTATTATTAATACCCATGCATTAGCACGATGCGTACTCAAGCTAGTCAATAAAAAATATAACGCGAGATATTTATAAATCTGTATTAAAGTCAAATGAGTTGCCTACATGACAACTATTTGCGTGTCAGTCAAAATAATAAATACCTAAAAGGCAAAAAAAATGTGGATAAATCAAACTGTAATGCTTGAAAATAAAACGAGGAGAGATTTAATAATAATATTTACTATTTCTTTTTAAATTATTGGTTCAATGCATGTTAAATTATGATACGAAATTCATTTAACGGCCCAATACATGTTTAAAATGTCACTATGCATGATGCATTTACAATTAGCATCTATAACTGAAAGAAAAGAATAAACTTGTTATTAATGAAATATTATCAATGTTGTGGACGTGCCGGAGTGGTTATCGGGCATGACTAGAAATCATGTGGGCTTTGCCCGCGCAGGTTCGAATCCTGCCGTCCACGCTTTGCCGTCCACGCTTTTTTTTTTTTTTTTTTGGATTATCACTTATGTATAACAATATATATTTATAGTTAAATTTATGATAAAAGCCAAATCATATAATAGATTTAAGAACGGAGGGAGTAAATTAAACTGCGCGTGTATTTAATACTAGTATCAACAAACTTCATAGAACTGTAGAACTTTTATGTGATGCTGATTGAATAGAATTCATGGGCAGTTGATTGTAAAACGATACTTAATGATTGCTATAGGTAGTCATATATTACCTCCGTTACAGGTTATGTGCAACGATTTGACATAAAGTAGAGAGGAAAAATGTCTAATCGTTGCACTTTTGAAGGGAGTATGATATATCCACTTTCTGACTTTCATGAGATTTGGTACCGTTATTGATTAAGAGCTAAAAATTTACTGCTTACAGTATAGTCTTATGAATCCATAAGTATTTAGAGATTAGTCCCATATGGACCAAAAGTAAGAACGAAGCTAAGTATAAATAAGTTTGCCTCATTTTATTATTATTTACGCAGCCACGCAGTGAGCGCAGAGCGAACTATTCTTTCGCCTTTTACTAAAGAATACCGTGTGCTCGTTGCTTTTAGTGGCATACCTTTATTTTTGAAGGGAGTTCTTCATAGGATCTCCCAGCAAATAAAGTTCAAATTCGCTCATTATTTTCAAAATCAAAAGACTAATCTCCCTCCCATCGATATATATACAAAAAACTAAATGTTAAACCTTGCATAAGTTGCATTGACTATACGCGTTTAGTAAAACAAAACTTTGACCATAGATTTCGTTAGTTTCACATTTGTTAAGAGACACTACGTATAACATTTGAAAATAGAGTGATTGAGTTGTTATGAATTATTGAAAATAAATTTACTAATCACATAAAGAGTGTAAAATGGATCGGATTATTGACATCAATGACATACAAGGGATGCGGTTAGGAGAAATTAGCGGTGTGCTTTTTCTTAAGGTTGTGTTTTATGGAATTCTATTATGTGTTTTGATGTATGTTAATGTAATGATATTACTTCAACTTACTTACATTTAAATTAAAACAATTATAACTTGCTTTATCGAGTTGTTGT